CGGACGGCCGTTTCAAGGGAATGCAGGGCTTCATAAGGTCCTGATAGGGATTGAGGGCCCTACATTTGGGGCACCTGTACGGGGATGCTTGAGATGGGACGAAGCTCTCGGCAGACAGCCTTGACAATCATACGGATGAGAATAATGCGCTGGTAATGATAATTCCTAGCGTTCTTCCTTTGGGTTCCATAGTATGTTGTAGTATAAGCCATAACACCTCGGGTCGAATCAGGTAGGCTTCTACCATAGATTTTGGGTCTTAGCATGCCTTAGCTTTCGAATTGAGGGTTCAGGAAGTGTACAAATTCTGCTGCAAGGAAGGATGGCATGCCAGTTAGCCCACAGCCACTGGATCCGTGAATCGACAAAGTTGCGCTGACTAGGGTGGCCCTTGAAAGCACCTGCAAAAATCAGGACTTCATAGGGTTCGTTACACCGGCTTGACACAGTTCAAACTATACGACGGCCTCAGCGACATACCCCATCCCACATCCACAAATGTCGACACCCTAGCGCCCTCCAGCCTCAGCGCCGCTTCCCCCATGCAGGCAGAGCTAACCCTAAACCCTATAACCTACTTCCCTAAACCATACACCCTAAACCCTACACCCTAAACCCTACTTCCCCAAACCCCTCAACCCCAAACCCTAAACCCTAAAACCTCAGCCCTAAACTCTAACACCCTGAACCCTTAAACCCTGAACCCTAGACCCTAAAACCTAATGCCCTAATACCCCAAACCTTTAAATCCTTAAACCCTAAAACCTAAGGCACCTGTCTCGTTTCTCCACGGATCGCTTGGGCACACCCCCCCAAACCTAAGCCCACATAGCCGGTTCCATGCAGGCAGAGCTGGAAAAGGAAAGCAAAGCCCAAGAGGCGAGCAAGGACGTTGAGCCGTAGCCCCAGATCTCTACTTGGAGGGTTTAGGGTTTAGGGTTTAGGGTTTGAGGATCATGGGACTTAGCCCCCAAACCCAAAACTCAAGACTCCAAGTCTTAAGCCTTAACCCTAATATAGATCCCGTAAATATTTTTCAAGGACACACACCATGAGCCCTAAACCCCACACCCTATACTTGGAGGATCATGGGACTTAGTAAGTAAGGTTATAAGTACCTTAATTGGGGTTATAAGTAGTTATAAGTATAGTTACCCTAATTATAACCCTAGTTACTAAATCCCATGATCCTTTAAGCAGACATAGAGTAACCTCTCTTTGGGGGTGCGTATAATAAGGCTTACGGTTCCTTCAAAGGGTTACTATAAGGGTACTATAAGTTAAGGGTTCCTTTAATAGGGGCTCTGTAGGGGTTTAGAGTTTCCGAAAACTCGGGGTACCTTATTTTTGGGTGCTTAGAAGAAGGATCCTACTATTAGGGTACTATATGAGGTTCCCTTCTTTTCGCAAACTCCCCTATAGTGAAACTTACATAAAACCCTTCTACGTACTGTTCTGGATCAGAGGTTCCGTTGCGGGGTTTCGGGGTAGATATAGGCAGGTTTGCTATGGTAGAATGCAGAGCTTGGTACTGCTACCCGTTCAGTCGCCACGATAGTTCACGGCAGTGTCGCAACAGTACTCGTGCAGGTTGGTGCAAACAAACGACCAATCAAGCAAGGCAGGAAGAAGCAAGTAAGAGCATACTTAAGTAACTTAAGTAGATGATTCGACAAGGGAGTGAGTGAGTGAGTGAGTAGGAAGTTGTCGCAGAAGCAGCAAAAGTCAGAAATGGCTCATTGACACATAATCTGCTCAATCTTTCTGGCTTTTGCTGTTGTACTCATGATTGCTGTTTGTGTCTGGAATGTTCCAAATCATAAACCTTAAACCTTGAACCCCAAACCCTAAACCGTAAACCCCCGACTCCTAAACCCAGAACCCAGCTTCAAGCGCTTGTCTCAGGCCAGAGAAAGCCTAGGCTGAAGGTGAGGCTCTGCGGAGTGTTTGCATGGGTGCGATCGTTGTCTGGATCTGCTTGTGGTTGGGACGTTAGGCTACAGGGAGTTAGTAAGTAGGGTTATGAGCACCATAATTGGGGTTATACGTGATGGGAAGTCTAGCTAGCATATTTGAATGTTGAGCCCTAGTTACCAAATCCCATGATCCTTTAAGTACGCCTTGCGGTCATGAGTGTACCCTAAGCCCCCAAAGTAGTTCCTTTTGGGGTTCATATTTAGAATCTTATGAGGTAAGCCCAAAAAGGAACTACTATGGGGCCTCTGGGTAGGGTCCAGCACGTCGGGCTACAGCTGCAGAGTTCGGGTGTTAGCCGTCAAAACCCTTTTGAGGCTGAACCTTAACCCGAGCTGCATGACACTTGCTACGCCGTTATTTATATTTCGATGACAAGCCTCCCTACAACTATACCCTAGCTCGAAACCCCAGAACCCACACTAGAAACACGGCATCCCGGAGCAAATGCCCCGTAGTTCGCTCTTCCGGCCCGCCGGGTGGAAGTAGCAATGCTCCTGCTGAAGCGGGAGCCTCTGCCAAGCTGCTGCCTTCCGCTCCCAGCTTGCTTAGGCCTCAGGGTTTCAGAGTGCACCGAGTCCCAGCGTCCTAAATAGGAAAGCAGTGAGCAGGGCTTGAAGCATATGGGAGTTTGCGAAAATGGGGGACCATAATATAGTACCCTGAATAGTAGGATCCTTATTATACGGACCCCAAAACAAGGCACCCCGAATCTTCGGAAACTCCCGTTTACCACAAGCGACTTGATCATGAGACTATTGGGATGAGGATGTCTGATCAACGGTGGTTTGGAGTGAAGACATCCTGGAGTTTACTGATAGGAGGCCAAATGGGGTTTCAGCCTATGGGGGTTTAGTAGGGATTAGGGTTCCCATAATAGGGTTCATACTAAGGAATCCCTACTCCAAGAATCTTAAACCCCCCTTTTGGCCTCCCCTCATTTACTGAGTTGGGCTTGAGGGTTTAATGTTCAGGGTCTGGGGGTTTAGGTGAGGGGTTTGTGGCGTTGGGAGTTTAGGTTTGATAGGGCTGAGGGGGTTAAGGAGATTCAATGCTGAGCCCAGACCCGCGACACCCTTTACAAGTCAGGCGGAGTCATTGATTGAGTGAGTTGAAGTTTTGCTCCCTCACATAAACTCGCAGAGTTTAAACCTCAATCTACCTTCATTTCAGTTGGAACATTTCAGGCCCGTACAACAAGGCTTACGGCTTATCGCTGAAGCTCCGCTGAAGACTCCGAGACCGCTACGGCCCGGGCAGGGAGCAGGATTAGCATGCCGTTTTTTGCCTTCCCCTTCGCAGGAAGAGGATGGCTCTGTCAAGTAGGTGCTTGGATGGGCCTGGCGTCTGTGCAGAAAGCCCAAAACCCTACAATAACACAGACTTTCCCCAACGGCCTGGACCATACGAAGGATGTTCACCCTCGTAACCACAAAACAGCAGGCCACCATGCTGCCAGGTCAGCTACCGCTACCACTATCACCAGACCACGACCACGTCCACAACCATACCGCTGCTGCTACCGCTGCAGCTGCCACCACAACTACCGCCAACGCTCTCCAAACGAAGGAATGTTGCTGTAATATTAGGGGCCTAAATACTTACCTACAACATTTTTGGGGTTCTTTTGTATATCTACAGTAGAATGGGCCCCAAACCCTATTCTAATTATTAAGGCCCCTACATCATTTCCAGGTCCATCTGAGTGATGAGTTTGGGGGGATTGATGGTTGCAACTGAAGCACCAACCTTTCAGAACTCAGTGAGATTCATGTCATGGCCAATTCATGGCTTGCGACCAGTCATCCCCCTTTCTGTATGCGAAGCACATACATGCGTTCTGCTCACAGTTTTCCCACTTTTCTAAAGCATTTCAATTCTGCGCAGCTTGCTTGTTTGTGCGGTTGACCAGCGGTTCCGTTGCACTTACATCGATCCGGACCCAATATATAGCAGGTTCATGTGTAGCTGTAGACGAATGGTCAAAAGAGTTTTGGGTGGCTCCTCGAGTCATTACTGTAACCTACCTTCGATTTACATATGTTTTCTTCGGAAGCAGTTGGTCAGTCATGTCTGCGCAGAATTCTCGCACAGACTGCACACTCGTTTCGATGAAACGGGCCCTGCGATGATTTGCAATCCTTCTCCATGCCAGTCCAAGCCCTATGCCCTGAAACCCTCAACCCTTTTGTTAGCCCAAAAACCCTAAACTTAAACCCCGCTTTAAAACTCATCAATGAGTCTGCGAAGACATCAGTGAGTCTGCGAAGATTGAGGCTTTAGAGGCACGGGGATCAACGCACGGAAGCCTTCATCGGACGTCCGAGTACGGTCCTATCACAGGGGTCTGAATAGTTAGTTTGGGGTTTAGGGCTTGGGTTTGGGGTTCACTGGTGATCATATCAGCTTATAGTTCCTATATGATAACACTCGTCCAGACTTCGTTGGGCTTGAGAGAGCAGCTGCATGCTCACAGACTTATGCTCCAGCTGTGAGGACACCGCACCTGCCATACTTCGATGGAGCTTTTGGACCAGTTCCCTTTATGGGCCCTCACACCTTGCCTAAAGAGCCTCTGAGTGCTCGCCTTCAAGACAGTGATCCTACCTATCAAGAGTCCAACACCCCGACCGAAACCCCAAAGCCTAAACCCCTGTCATACCTATACCCTGGCCCCTCAAAGCCCAAGGGGCCCATACCCTTAACATAAATCAAAGAGGGTAACCTTTCGCTCTTCTACCCTCAACCCCATAAGCCGAGACCCCCTAAGCCCCAGGACCCTGAGCCCCAATAAACTGGCCTCCAAAACTCGGCACCCACCCTAGGGTTTAGGGCTAAGGGGTTTAGGGTTTAGGAAGAAACCCCTTAAAGAGAACCAGACATAAAACGGAACCCTTATGGAACTCTTAACAAACAACTCAAAAAGAAGCCTTAACGGCCCTAACACGAACCCTAGAACAACGCCCTTAAAGCCCTAAAACCGAGACCTACAAACTCTCTTTCTTGCCGCCTCCCCCCGAGCAGCCATGGCGTCCTCGGAGTTGCTGGGCGCGCTCAATCGGCGATGGCCCGAGCACCAGAACCCCTGAACACGAGGGGTTTAGAGGTTTAGGGTTTAGGGCTTGCAACATTATAACCCAAACCCTGATTGGAAATCAAGAACTCAAGGACCGGATATCCCCACATGAGTATGTCGGTGGATAGTGGTCGAAGTGGATGAGCCCTCTAGAGCCTTCAGAGGTGTGTGCGTGGTGTTGTGTGCATTGCACCAGAACCCCTGAAAACGCCGTGCTACTTCCAAAGGCGTTGTAGCCTCTGGGCTCTATGCAGTTGACTCGTTCCGTACCCAATGTTTCAGTCCAGGCATTGGCACAAACGAGGGGTTTAGGGGTTCAGGGTTTAGGGTTTAGGGCTTACAACATTATAACCCGAACCCCGAAGAGCCCAGAGCTTGGAGCCTCTAGCACCCCTCAGAAGACCCCGAATAAATGGGCGCCAAGATCCCCACAACCTCCAAAGACACCTCCGAGGCGCCGGGAGATGGCGGAAGCAGCTGGTGCTGTTTTCGAGGTGCATTTCTTGCTAGGGGGACCTTTGTCTCAAGTCGTAGGGACTGGTGTATGTATGAACGCAAGTCTGATGGTGCTTGTATGTTCTTCTGGAAACATCTGTTGATTTGTGTATACGCATGACAAAAGCTGGTAAGATCGTCGTTAGTTTGGATTTGGTAAGAGTACTTTCTTGTATGACTTATTGCAAAGGAAAGTATTACTCCTTTTGCAGCAAATTGCTGGTGCAAGCGCTATGCATGTATGCCCAGTACTAGTACTTACTCGTTGTTATCGTGTTATCTTCACGATTACTGTCACCAATCACTATTTCGCAACGAGTGTTGTTGCTGTCTGAGTGCTGATCTAAACACTAACTGTAAATCTTGAACCCCGAGCCCACCCCTATACCTGCCAAAGCCTAACCTTTCCACCCCCAAGCCCCTAAACCTCCAACTTTGATCCGAAAGCCTGTAGCTACACCTATAACAGCAGTAGAACAACACTACAACAGGCATGTCGAATGTTTCTAAACACCCAGAAAACCTCACCAAGCCATTAAAATCACCATACAACCCTTTAAACTATACGCCTAAACCCTAAACCCTAAACCCTAACTGCTCTCTTCCCAGGGGTCTCCGCGGGCCTCGGCGGCGGACACGGTCTGGGCCAACCTCTCAGGGATACTTCCTAGGTTGGTCTATGTAGGTGGTTGTAGTCTTTTTGCAGAAGAGCTCTCTCCCAGTACCACCACAACCGTCAGATCCCAAGGCCTTCAAACTCGGGGCGTAAACGCCGAAACTCGGGCCCTCATAAGCAACGATGCAGTGCTCGTAAGCGCGGCTTTAGCCTGGACCTTGAGTGGGAAAGCTTGAAACCCTCAGGTGACACGGTATGATGTGCAGTGACAGTTGCAGCAGTAGTAGCTGATTGTGTAATTCGCAACACTCGTATGCTTTAGTCGTAGAAGTCCAAGAAGTAGGCTGCGTCCTCCTCCTCCTCCTCCTCTCCAGCTCCTCCTCTTACTGATACACGACTACGATGACGACTACTATTACGCGTGATACTCATGCGGAGGAGGAAGGTCTCGCAGCCGGGTTGCGCTAGGCGAAGGAGGAGCCGAAGCAGTAGCACCGACACTGAATCGAATACCAATCCTATCACCAAGGACAAGCACCACGAGACGCAGTTCACGCCAAAAGGCAAACATCGGCTGTCCCGGCCTTAGCGCCAGGCTTTCGATGAGGGTTGCTATAAGGGTTCCTGCAAAGGTTACTACAATAACTGTTCTGGAAGATGCCAGAATCTAAATGTGAGGTGTTCAACTTATACGGTGGTCTTGCAAACTGAAGCCTGTAGCCCTGAAGCCTGTACTTAAAGGGTCATGGGACTTAGTAACTACTTGGTCCCGGGGCTATCTCGTATCACCTGGGTGTTTTACGCATCTGCAAGGCGTCTACTTCGGGGAACGCATTATAGACGTCATATCATCTTATCAAGCTCTGTATCTTCAGCTTCATATTCTTCGGCGTCCACAGCACGCTCTCGCATCTGTAAGAGTCAGTGGGCACGCGTCTGCCCCAAAACCCCACAGCCTAAACCTTAAACTTACGGCCAAAGCCTAGTGCCGTAGGCCATGAGCTTCGGGTGCCATGTGCCAGGCCTGACGAATCCAGGATGCAGAGAATCGAGCAGGCACCCTCTCCTGACCGACTTGCACAGGCTTTTACACCCTCAACCTTAGACCCTAAACTACAGAGGGTTGCAAAAGGTAATGCTCCTATACTCAACCCTTGTAGCCACCCTTACAGCAACCCTTATAGTAACCTTTATAGACCCCCTTAAAGGGACCCTTATAGTAACCTTTATGGATCCCTTTTAAAGCGAACCCCTATTTATATTAGGGTTCAGGCTCGGCAGGGCTTCCGGAGGCTTCGCAGAAAGAAGAGCTTTCGTTTGAGGTTCCTTAAATCAGAACTGGTGGTCATGCTTGACAGAAGATTCCGTGAATTGATGGCGCTGGGGTCTCTGGGATGCCTGCATATCTGTGCCTGCAATTCCGGGCTATGTCGTAATTCCTATAGAACCCGCTCTTTTATCCCTAAACCCTGAACCCTAAACTTGTAACATCTTAAGCTACTAGGTTCAGAGACATTCACATTAATTTCTTTTTATGGGTTTGGATACGATTCACCGATACAGTTTCGAAGCACACCAAAGGAGTAGATACGGTTTCTGATACAATCATTCTTGAGGCGAAGTTGTGGTGCATCGTTGGCGAAGTTCAGGCCAGTCTACGACGAAAAAACGAAAGCTGTGGTGCACGGCTGTGGGACCTGTGCTGCTCAAGTGTGGCGTGCAGAAGTTTGTATCCCGATATGTATCTTGATACATGCTGAGATACGAATGGTTATTAATGACTTACAAATGTGTATCCATCAGTCGTATTGATAACCGTATCAAAACCGTAAAAGAAAATAAATGTTAAATCCAGAACCCAGTAGGTTTACGATATTACAACCCTAAACCCTAAACCCAGTAAAGCCCACCAGGCGGAGGAGGAGTCGGCAGGGACCATCACCCCGCCGGAGGAACATTCACCCCCGCCTGGCAAGGCGATGTGTTGTCGTTATCATAGGGGCTTTAATAGGGTTCCTTTAAAGGGTTCCTTACAGGGATTTACAAGGGATACTACAAGGGTACAATAATATACGGGTGTTAATGAGTCGAATAAGGTTTTGGGGCCCAGTATACTAATGCCCAAATATATCATTTTGACTGTCGTTATTTTCATATACGTTAGTTTTGGTCAGGAATGTTGTCATTAGCATTATCATTGCCATTGTCTTTGCAAGTAGTGTTGTGGTTATCGCAGTCATCATTGTGTCATTATCTTAGGTATTTACGCCCTCTCGACACGAATAGAGTAGTATTGTTATGTTTGTCCATCACTGTTATTGCGACAATAAATGCGAATACTACCCATCTCATTCTCATGGTTATGATTATGAGTATAAGAAGTAAGGCTGTTTTCTTTGTCATCCGCACATTTATTCGTAGTGCCTTTTTCGTTTCAACGGAAGCATTTCGGGTTCTGAGACCAGCTCAAGGGTCGAGGTGGTTTGGGTTTGAGCGTTTAGGGTTGAGGGTTTGGGGGGTTCGGCTTTAGGGGTTTGGGGGTTTAGGGTATAGGGGTTTATAGAGGTTTAGGGTTTAGGGTTTAGGGACTGAGGGTTTAGGGTATGGGAGGTTGGATTGGAGGCTTGATTGTCAGTGGCGGGTCGATTTTTGCAGGCCTGGGGCTCTTGGCATTGGAGTGTTCAAGTGGTCTAGGAAGTCGGAACTTCCATGCCTCCAGATCTCCCTAAACCCTAAACCCTAATCCCTAAACCCTCTCAACAAGACATACATAAACAGAAACCTTGAGCTCCAAGCCGTTGCTGAAAGGCTTCAGGAGCCTTCCACTGTTGCAGGATGGGTAGGGGCTTGCGTGGGCCCACAGGGGGATATAATGTGTGAGGCACGAATTGGTAGCATCGTTTTTGCTGTGGCTTTGCGGATGCGACGGTCGAAGGCTACGTAGTGACAACTTCCTGCATAGCCAGATTTAAAGATGTCGTCTAAGTCTCTAGATTGATTAATGAGTATTTCCCTAATGAGTGGCACAGCTAAGAAGACGCAAGTGAAGCAGATTGACACAGTGAGTTCTTAACAACAAGAGGCAGCTACACACTCGTGTGCTTTGGCTCGATGCCCGTCGTCTTCCCAACGCGGAAAGCCCTACGATTGCTCACAGGTCCGCGCCAAAGAGAGCCCCGCTGAAAAGGCGGCGCGGCGTGCGCGGGTCTTGCCCCCAGCGCAGCAGAATAAAAATTGAGAGCCCCGAAGCCTCTAGAACTCCACACCCCCCAAAACCTCGAGCCTAGGTTTGTAGTATTATTTGTCGTGTCTGCAGAACTGCACTCTGCTGGCTGGGCTTCGGGTCCTGTTAATTTGAGCTTTTGGTAGTTACGCAGCCTCGCTCGCATTTTTGTTGGGGATTCTGTGCCCGGAACAAGTTTGATGTCACCCCTTTTGTTCTTCTCACCCCAGCCCTAACATCATTTGTTTGGTTCATTCTGGCTTGGCATTTTTACGCAATTTACATGAGTCTTGCAACCGGACATTCCGCCCCGCGGAATCTTGTTTTTGTGACCCTGTTTATCGAAACCACTCCAATATAATCAATCTTCCCTAACCCCGGATCCCAAACCCTAACCCTCAAACTCGAGGCCCTTCCCTAAGTCTTAGCCCTCATCCCGACATCCCGAAACCTAAGTCCGGAACGGGAACCCAGCCTGGAGCCACCCCTTGGCAGATACCCAGAGAGCCCAATACCCCTTTAATTAAGGAATATAGCTTAAATCATAATATGAATCCCCTTATAATTTAAGGTATATTCCTTAATGAAGTGGTATTGGGCTCTGTGGGTAAGGGGA